CCCATTCTGAGTTTACCTGGCTCCTCGAGGTGCCAGTCCCTGGAAGCTTTATAAAAAGCCATGGATATTTTCTGTCATTAGCCTCTGACACCAGAAGCAGTGCCTGGGGGAGGGAGGCAGGATGAATGCCAGCCAGTTCTCAGCAAGGCTCTCATGCCTGGTTTTCTTCTCCAGCCTCCTCGGCCATCGTTGAACAGCCCCTGTGCCTCCCCACCTCAGCGCCTTTGGGCACTGCCTCTGCCTTGCCTTTGGCTGCTGTAGGGACGGAGCACAGCAAGGAGGAGACAAACTGTCCTCTTTTCAGAGTTAGGATCAAAGACCAAAAACCCCAGCTCTCCAGACATGCTTACAGCCTCATCACAATGTACTAGACACAATGGCTGGAGTAAAACTTTGCAATAAAATGGACACTCAGCAATGGGTACAGGGTAAGGTCTGAGCTGCTGAAAATTTAGCAGATTAATGGAGACAAGGAAATCAATGGGACAGTGGTGAATAGAAAGACAAGTTGAGGTATCCCAGCAGTTGCCTTTTCATAAAACATTATTCTGGTTAAATCTCATGTTTAATCAAAAGTATATGGGTGCTTTGGCTTCCTGTGAAGAGCTCTCCCATGCTGCAGCTGAAAAACACACACCTGTAATCTCAGACATGCATCTTTTCTGCAGAAATGTACCCTACAGATGTGGCAGTTGCTGGCAGACTCTGACCTATGCAGAGCTGTGAATATTAGTGGAAAATGATGAAATCCCACTTTAATGCATCCAGTGGAGGAAGCATTTGTGAAAGCATTTATTCCATCATGGGAGAAATCTCATCTGACCTAGTTTCCTATTCTGTTTGTTACCTCCTGGCTGTCTCATCTGAGGCTCCACCTGCTGTTTCTCCATCTGCCAGTCTTTTTTATATCAGAGGAACCTTCTGAGTTCCACGTTAAATGTCAGGCAGGCTGGAGAAAAGTTGTTTATGTCTGCATTTAAACAGATGATATTTCCATTAAAAGTGCTCCATGGAGACACTAAAGGCTAAGATGTCATTTGCATTTGGTTATTTCAATTCACACGCAGGCTTGTGAAAACTCATGCTATTATTTCAGAACTTCGTACACCCAAGCAGAATGACCATACTCTGACAAGTTCATTGTTCGTGTCTTTTCTAGTAATATTGAAAGCCTTAAACTAGGGGCCAAAAAGTTACCAGATAAAATAGTTAAAGTCACTGGAAACCAAAATCACTAACAGGGAACCACCTGTTTTCTCCCACTTACCTCCTAAGCTATTTCAGAGCAGAACACAAAGAGTTTGGATTAATGTGTGAATAAACATCAGCTACCTTAAAGAGTAATTAACTCTAAGGCTGCAATACTTAAGGGCAACCACCCCATTCAAACCCAGCACTTGAGGTATATTTTGTCAGCATATAAAACCACAGCTATGCTGAGAACACCTGGTAAGGACTAAACTGTGGGATTATCAAGATATCTACCTTTGTTTTTCTGTTACTTTTGCTATTCATAGACTGTGGTGTTTGCGAGGGTCCCTGGGATGAGGTGAGAGATGAGAATCTGGCTCCACGTTCTCAGAAAGCTGATTTATTACATTATGATATTATAAGAATGCTATAATAAAACTGTACTAAACTATATAGAAAAGATACGTCAGAAGGCTTAACAAGAATGAATAATAAAAACTCATAACTGCTTAGAGCCTTGACACAGCTGGACCACGATTGCTCATTAAATTAAAACAATTCACATGCTGGACAAACAACCTCCATATCACATTCCAAAGCAGCAAAGAAGGGAGAAGCTGAAGCTTCTCAGGAGAAGAAATTCTGGTGAAGGGATTTTTCAGAAAATATCATGGTGACAACAGATACTTTGCAAAGAACTTCCTTTACCTTCAGCAAGTTAAGGATCAGGGAGCATCATCTTCATCACATATCATCTCCCCGACAAAAAAAAATACTGCATAACCAGTGGCTCAGAAAACTCTAGAATCAAGGGTTTCAGCAGTTATTTTCTCCAAAAAGGCGTACACAAAAGAAGTGGAAACTCACCATGCCAGTGCAGACTGCCACACAATTTGTACAAGAAGATCAAATGTATACTGGAGCTACAGCTGTCCTAACACACCCATGTGAAGAGAGTAGGAATATTTTCACAGGTTTCAGTGAACTTCAGATCAACTCTTAGGGGCAATTAAATAGTCCTATTTTGTATATTAGAATTTTATGAATATGTGTAGGCAGACATTCTGTACCTGTCTTTTATTGTGCTCCTGGAATTAGTTCAGCCTTTAAATGGACAGCTGTGGATCTTCCAGTCTCCCAGTTCTTGGAGGCAGTGGTCTTGACTTGGAGATTGCTGCAGCTGTTTGACCCACTGTCCATGTCTGACCCTTCCACATGAGCATCCCTGGACCTAGACTGTCCATGCTATGAAAACCAGGATGAATAAAATCTGTGCTTCCTGTAGAGATACAGGCACGTTAGTTTCCTTTAGTTTATGACATTGCAATTTACCTTAATTTGCCTTCAATTGTCTTGAGGGAATGAAGGAAAGCCTTTGGTGGGGAGAGGAAACACTTGAAATTCATTATATAAATGTAATGTAACACAAGTATTAACACTACGATTTACAGTAATAAAAACATTATTACAATGTGTTTAATTATGAACCATTACAAGACCAATTAAAGTTGTCAAAATAGAACAAAAAAGCAACATGTGTTTTTCCCCTGGAGGAGCAGGATATGGTGAGGCTCATTATTAACTCTTAATTAGACAATAGAAGATTGCTCTTGCTTTGAGTTAAAATCCAAGCTCTTAGAAAAAAAGAGCTCTAAAAAAAAGAGTTATATTCCTCTGTGGCAGACATTGTTTAAAAAATTTTTAGCACACCAGTAGAAGCATTTTTTAATACATAGAGTAGACACTTAAAAATCTGAATTCAACAGCATCTATTTAGTTCAGCTTTAGCACCCAACACAGTTCTGACATTTGCAACCTGCATGCCATTATCCATCTCACTGCAAAAAATAAGACACAATGACACTTGGTTTACCTGGAAAGGATGGTCAGACAGCCCTTAAAGGAATCTAATTAAAATGCAGCTTGTTACCAGGGCAGTGCATCACACTGTGCTGCCATAGTAACCAGGGTCCCATGGACTTTTGGGGCCATCTGAGGGCATGTTTGCAAGAGGCACACAAGAACCAAACTGATCACCTTTGCTACATTTTAAATGGCCTTAAAACTCTGAATGATCTGCTGATATCACCAATTAAAGAAGTTAATTAACTGTTACATGTTCAGACAAGGGACCAGTCTCAGAAACAAACTCATTACTGTTCTTTATGATATAACACTCCCCACAGCTTATTTAGGAAGTGCAGCATGTGAGCAAACAGTTTAAATTGATTCCCTGGTAAAGAAGCAATAGAGAAATCACGACCTGGGCTGTGAAAGTGGAGATGAACAACAGAAATACATATTCTATTTAGACTGCTATTTCCAGTGCTGTTTTCTGAAGTTCCAGGCACAACACTCAGCTCAGTTGCTGCTTTTGGTGGATGATTCCCTACTGCCACACTGGGGGGTGGGGAATCACATTATAGCACTGAGCTTTTCTTTCCAAGTCCTCCTAGAACAGAAAGATCCTTAAACAACATTAAGATGTTCATATAAAAGCAATATCTTATGGTGTAACCCATCCTGACATAAGTTTCCAGGAATGCAATAGATTGGTAACAGAGGCATTCATTTTTCACAGCAAACATGTCCAGGTCAAGAAAATCTTTTGACACATCACCTGTGAGACTTCAAACTGTTGGTGGGTTGCTACCGATTACCATGAAAGATTTCTGCAAGAAAGCACAGGACTTTAGAGTAGAGTCTCTTAAGCAATTAAAGTATTGATGAAAACACCTGAAAGTTGTCTGAAATGATCAAGGGGATTTTTCATTACTTTGAAAAAAAAAAAAAAAAAAAAAAAAAAAGCTTGATAGCAATTCTTTTGAAATAAGTCAAAGTCCTGAGAAATATTGGGTTGGAACTGGGGGATGACATGGGAAACTGAAGCACTGGTATTCTAAGCACCATGAAACCAGCAGGTTTATGTGACTTTGGCTCACAGTGCTACATCATCAGCTCCCACTGTCCACAGACGGAAGGGGCACACAGTTGCAAAGACCTATTGCATGTTGGGCATGATAGTACCAGAAAGGTGGCAGAAAGCCAGAATGGAGCTCAGTTCACAAACAAGTTGGGGAGTTCATCCTCCTTGGGTCTGTGTCTCTTTTTGAGCATATCAGTAACATGCATTATGTGGTTGTGCCTAAGTTTGCCCACTTTCAAAACCAGACAACGATATTTACCTGTTACCCAGAACACTGAAAACGGTAGCTGCAACTCAAGCACAAAATCCTACTCAAGACTAGAGAACCCTAAACACAAAACCACTTCAGGTTAGAGCTAACACTTGATCCTAAATAACAAATAACAAAACATGGTAGAAGTAAAACCATCTCACACTTACATATTTATACTGTATGGAAAAATATCCAGGCAGCACATGTCTAAAAATAGACAGTAGACTGTACTTCAGCAAAATGAGACTTTATACAAGACAAATTCACTGCAACTAGGCCATCACTGTATATCCCAGCACTTTAACAACCTTGGAACAGTAATTCCTCAAAGGGCCTGATGATTTCCTGATAATCTGCTGCAGCCCATTATTAATGGCTTCATTCACTTTCAGGTTGCCCTTACAACAGCAAGTTTATTACCCTACAAACAAATCTATCTGTCAGAAAAGGTGCACCCAGCTGCAGTAGCAGCCCTGATTTTCTCATTCTTCATGTTTTTTGTACAGAATGGGCTTACATTTTCTGATTTTGCTCCTCCACTTCTTTCAAAAGAAGCAACACAGCTTGAATGCTTCAACAGGGGCTTTTGGAGGGGAAAGGTGGTGTTAGAAATCATCACTAATTTAGAAATTAATTTTTAATGGGTTACATTTTATTTGCTTCAGTTGAACACCATTATTTACAGACACAAGTTAATAAAACACATCACAAAACAATAAAATTTCAACAGCTAATATTTATAGGTGCATAGTTCATGCTCAATTACTTCTTTATATGTATAATACATACACATATATATAAAGCTCTCACAATAAGTCATCTCTGCACAGAAAGAATAGTCATAGGAAACAAAAACTGTATCATAAACAATATCAAATTACTGACAGCCTATCAACAAAACATGTACAGAATTAGAAATAAGCAGTAGACACTTAGGTGTTTTTACTTAATATTTTCTTTTTTAACTTTTAAACTTGAAGCCACAACATCCACAGCACAACAATGATCCTGCCAACCGGCTTTCATTTCAGCAGGAGGGAAATGCTGAAACAAGGTGGATGCAGTCACAGATACTCCAATCATTGCTGATGGAAGACTTCAAAATACACCTTAAAAACTGTAAAAAAATTTAACGACTGGGCACATTGGAACTCAGCACTTGTACAGGATGGGACGTCTTTAGTAGTAAGTAGATTTCAGGTGAAAGAAAGGAAAGGGCTCTCATGCTTCAGGCTCATAGTCTTGATACTCTTCCTATTGAGGGAGAGCAGAAATCAACACTATTGGTATTTTAGATAAAGACATCCTATTTCCTCTGTTATTCTAAACCTGGTGGATTCAATACCCAAATATTATGGATGCTCATGTGACCAGGATATGAAATGTATTTGAATTTTGTCACGTTTCCCAGATTCTGTACCTTACAAATCAGGGTACTGAGAGGAGAATTAGACTTTTACAGTGATTAACACACCATTCAGCTGATGCTGGCAGGAACTCCTGAGGCCACCCATGACAATTCACCTGGAGAGGAAGGAATACTGCTTCTGGGCTGAACAGCACACCAGGTGGTGGAGATCCTCATATGAGTCAGTAAATCATTTAAAGGAGTGTTTAACTACGGCCACATGAGCAGCATCCATAATTTCAATGATATTCAAGATGTTACCCTCAAGCCTTTAAGTCTTTTATTGGATCATGGCCTAAATTTTTTATACCTCTCATTTTCAGTCTTATTATCTGTGCTACCATAAAACTGCTAGTCCAACTAATAGTGCATCATGCCAGACATTGCAGAGAGCCCAACAAAATAATCTACTCCCGTAATTGCATTAACTTAAGGAACATGCTTCACAAAGCATGATGCATCGGTGAGCGACCAAGCTATTCGAACAATCTATGAAGATGCAGTTTGTCGCTCACATATTTTGCCAGCATATGAAACCACAGCTATGCTGAGAATACCTGGTAAGGACTAAGCTGTGGGAATATAAAGATATTTACATTTGCTTTTCTGTTACTTTTACCTTCCCTATTAAACATACAAAAAAAAAGATTCCTCAAAACTCATGCACAAGTGCTTTGAAACACAAACGTGGGAAATGGGAAACAAAGATTCCCATTTAACTTCCTAACTACCAAAAAAGCAAATAATTTTCTGATTCCCAGCACTATACCCCTGGCAGATCTTGGCCAAAGAGACCATGTTTCTGCTGTGCCTTGCAGCTCCCAGCACCAGCCTGGGCCAGACTTATGTGACTTGAGCATGCACCCTCCTCCTGTGGCCTTCTCTTACATGCATTCACAGCAAGCACCACAACAGATTTACCTCTGGAGGCATTTCGTAAGCCTCGTTCTCAGGATCCACAGGAGCACCTGTATTATTCACCATTCCCTCCTGCAGGAAACCTTCTTCATTCTACATTCAAAATAGGGAAAGAAAAGTGACAGTGACTGCATGCCTCATCACTCCCACCAAAGTGAGTTTCCTCCCCACCAGTGGTTGACTTCTTGCTTCTCGGCCTGTCCTTTGGTTGTGGGATGTTACCAGAGGTCATGGAGAGTGAGGGGACATTAGTTGCAGAGAGATCTTCTCCATGTTTCACAGGGGTGTTCCATGGGAATGGCAACTTTTGAATAACTGAGACCTAATTTTTCCCTTGCCATGGACAGGCCACGAAGTCAAAGTGAATAAAAGAACAGTACCACCACCAGCTTGCTCAACATCTTTGGAAAATATTTTAATCCCACAGAAATGCTTAGGTTGAGTCATGAAGCAAACCAAAACAAGAGTTTTTTGTACGGAAGGAAACTGATCTGGGAAACAAGGAAACAAAGTCCTGCACAAATGGCTTATCATCAAGTTATCACATTAATTCATGTTTAACTGCTTTGAGGAACACAGTGATAGGTATTTTTTTATTTATTTTTTCAATGTTATAGATACATCCACCCTGTCATAAACCATTATTAATTTTAAAGTTTTAGTCTTTTCACAATACATTGCAAAAAGGGGAAAACATGCTGATTTTTTTTTTTCTTCTGTTTTAGAACTTAACTGTATTGGAAAATGCTTTCTTTCCTTTAACGGGTCATACCTTTACATGCTTTCTTATGTAAACCAGCATGTTAGTCTACGCACTACTGGTATATGATATATGGTATGATACATTTTACCCAGCTTCTTGCATTTTTTTCTTTATTATAGGAGCACTTCTACTTATACGGCAATTTAAGTAAGAGACTCTGGGAATTAACAAGATGGCAATGGTGTGAGGAGTAATGTGTTGAATAAAATTATTAAAGGAAGATTATTATTCTCCTAGAACTACAGATACTCTGTACCACATGAAACAAACACAAAAGAAAAAACCCACAACACTTCAATTGGGCCAATTCTCTTTGTAGTTGTTACTCCAGAAGTTCACAGAGAAGAAGCATGAGCTCTGCCAGAGCAGAGGCTGCTGGTGTTCATCCTGAACTATAAAAAAACTGATATGAAAATAGGCAGAGTGTCTCAATGGATCTATTGTGACCATGCTGACTTATAACAGATGTCAACCTAGACAGAAACACACTAAAACCAATTACAGACACTCAGGATGGAATTATTTTAAAAACCCCACCTGCAGATTGGTAGAGTAGACAGAAATACAAAATTAAGTAAATCATAAACCAGACTAATAAGATAACTCTTCAAAATCTACAAATAAGATAGTGGCACTAAATTAAATTTAGGATACAGACAAAATGAGGATAAGAGAAGCTAAACCCAAAATTCACCTCTGAAAGCTTAACACAAAATAGAATATACAATACAAAAGAGATGGCACTAAACCCTCTTTAACTTCCCACAGTATTTATTGTGCTCCTCCATTTGCCAAATATTGGCACTCCCTCTGTGGTTTAACCAGGTGACCTTAGTCCTAACACTCTGTTCCTCACTTTCTGCACCATCCCAAGCACAAACTGTGACTTCATCTGCCAGATAACTGCTCTTCCTTGGATCTGTCACCTTTCTGATACATATGTAGGTACACATATTTTTCATCCTCATCATCCAAGTTTATGATGTGCAGAATTTATACCCATAATATAGATTCTTCTCTCCAGCTCTTATTTCATACTTTAAAATGCCCAGTATGAAGAGATATTTGGTCCTATTCCTTCTCTATGCTTTTTCCTTTGGAGGTAAGCAGCACAGTCTGTGTGGAGTCTGTTCTGCCAAGTTCCCTCCATGCCTGTGCCTGCTCTGAGTCAACACCCTGAGCTGCTCTATGGCACAGACAACGTGGAAAAATTCCAAAAAGCCAAAGGAAACTGATTAATAAGGTTGCAAGCAGCTTTATTTAAGTATCTAACAGGCACCTGTGTCTTCCAGAATTGCCAAAAATTTGGGTTGTTCAACATGAAAGGTAATTTTTCAGGCTTGAAATTGTTAGAAAAACTAGGCCCAATTACATTTCTGCCTCATCTTATTAAAACCCTTGAGCTCCCCAGATTATTTTATTCCAGTATTTACTTACCTTAGCTTCTAATCACATTTTTAATAGCATTTGTGCCTGTTTGCTTGTATGAAAAGTAGCATCAAACTCTACTGGCTTTGACTGAAGTAACCAAATAAAGTGTGTGATGCAAATTTTACAGCTGTTACTGTGCCCTTGACCTAAAAGACCTGCTCTAAAGACTCCAAGCTCCTGTTGCATTCTCTCCTACTTAATCCAAAATATAATTGCATTTCTGCCCCCCCCCCCCCAGTCATTAAGGAACAGCTTCAGCTAACAGTCAGCTCATCAAGTAAAACTGTGCCCAAAATCAGGCTTGAGGGCGCACAAGAAAATATGCACACAGCTTAATGTTATCTGTAGCAGGAAAACAGATGGCAAGTGAAACTGCCAGGACCATTATTAATGACACGGAAAAGCACTTCCCAGCTGAATTTCAAATAAGAGCATCAAAGTTTGCATGCTGGGTTTTTTTTGTTAGGAACCTCTGCAATGGATCTGGACTGTCCATCAGGATTACTGAGACACAACGCCTAAAAGACTGAATTCATCATCTTTCCAAGTCCCTTCAGCAAGTTCAGGAAGTAGATTTCTCTACAGCTTCAAATAAAACAATCAGCAGCAGTAGAAAAACACAGCATCAACCACATTTTTCAAAGGAAGTAAATCATAAGCCATAACAAACTCCCAAGGGAACTCCTTGCCTGGGAATGGTTTATCGCCTTTGCCCAGCCGCAAACAGCATCACAAACACCACCTCTCCCGTTGATGTCACTGCAGTTCAGATGAGGATGACCTTACTCAAGGTCATCTGTTGCATAAAAACGCATAGCAAAGGTAACCACCTCATTTTAAATGGTGGCATGCTCTGCTTCTGATGCACAGTCCCTCCCAAGTAAGGGTATCACAAAAATAAACCACCACCTCCAATAACACAGAGCCACCTAAGGTACACCTTAAATCATAATTTATCTCCTTCAAAACAAAGGAATGTAGCTTTACATTGTCATGATCAGTAATTCCATATCCTAATTCAGTTATGGAAGAGGAAAACTACCCAAAAGACCAATTCTTGTCTTAGTATGAAAGACACATTTTTCTCTAGAAGCTGCAACCTCTCTCAACCACACTGAAGGGCGTTTCCAGAGGGAACGATATTTTTATATTAGATCATCTGAAAAGCTCAACTAAAGCTTTTAAGAGATGAAGTCAGTTTTTAACTGGGGAGCATGAACTCTTGCCGGAAAAAGACTTTTAAAAGGGGACATTACAACTCACCCAGCCAACAAGGTGTTAGAAGAATGGTAAGGTGAGGACTTCTGCTTGTCCCCTTAAGGAGAAATGAATACCCACCTATGTATCGGTTTCAAGCATGGTCACCCTGGCCAAGTCTTGTATTTTGACTCCAGAGAGTCTCATGCCCTCACACCCCATGTTACAGGAACATGCATATCCCAAGCAGAGCAGACCACACTGCCATTCTCAGGCATTAACAAGAGTGTCACTTCGTGCTATCAGCACTTCTGCCTGCTTTGCTAAAGGCATGTGCCTTTGAGACCTGCACAAAGCCCATGTGCTGCCAGGCCACCTGGCAAGCCCACACACACTTTTCCCAAGAATTCGTGGCTATGTTACACAGTGCACACCCTCTCTTCCATGAGGTTTTCTCATTTCATCAAGCAACTTATGTCCTTTTATAAACAAAGAGGAGGTGATCCCATCATGGTCAAGTGGCACTTTGGCATGACCCTGGGTGCCAGCTCTGACTCCAATAACAGGTATGAATATCAGTGGCATCCAAGAGCATAAAGCAGAACTGCTGTGATTGCTCCAAAACATTGATTCCTCCTCTTTTACTGTGGGAATGAATCCTGCTAAGCTTTGTGCACAACAGTGTGAAATTACCCACTTTTGCAATAAAATAGTAATCAAACTAATTAAAAATTCCTCCTGAAGACCTGGGCCTGTTAAAATACAGAGTATTTGACAAAACTTCAGAACTACTCCTTTTATGATGTAAATGTCACCAAACAGGTTTTTCTTATTTCAGTGTTTTTGGTGACAATTGCAGCCCATTCTCCCCCTTCCCTACCTCATAACACTCTTGGTAGAAGGGAAGGGACTGTTTACGACCCCCTACCCATGAAAAACAGACCAAGTGGTCAACTCCTGGTAGTGCTCCTATGTCAGCATTATGTAGTGAAAGGGTCACCTTCAGGAGTGTGCATTCTGTGCTCTTGGTGACGTGTTGGTGTTGTAATGCCAAGTTTTTGCCATCAGAAAAAAGGCAATTTGTCCCAAGTCAGAGACAAGAGCAATTTCAATAGAAAGAGTTATAACTGCAATTTAGTGGCTGATCTAAACACTATACTTAGCCATCTTCCTGGTTAAGAATAGGTTTTATCTCTCCATTATGAACACTGATGAAATCTTACACTCATGCATAATTCTCATGATTACTGGAGACTAATTCCTTCTGGAGTGATTCTACATCCTGAGATAAATAAACCAGGCTAACAAACTGTCTGCTCTTAGAACATTTATACTGGCAAGAGGCAATCACCCTGGAATCCTGGACCCCCGGAGGTGAGAAGAGACCTACAGAAATTGCCCACCTTGAGCAGCTTGCTCAGGGCCACTCCTGATCAGGTTTTAACCACTACCACAGACAGAGACTCCACAACCTCACTGGATAACCTCTTCCAGTGTTCAACTAAATACACAGTAAAAAACCTTTTTTCTACATTTAAGTGGAGTTTCCTGCTTTTCATTTAGTGCCCACTGCTTCCTGCCCTTTCACCATTGAAGAATCTGGTTCAACCTCCTTTACCTCTAACCCCTACCAGGCATTTCTACTCACTGATAAACTCCCCCCCCTCCCCCCCCACAAACTCACATTTGTGTTCTTTTTCAG